GGGGGGGGGGGGGGGGGGGGGGGGGGGGGGGGGGGGGGGGGGGGGGGGGAGTAGTTGGAAGCGAGACACGAAACCGGGTTTGCGGAGGTGAAGTAAGTCGGTGTGGGCGGTGGGTGTGGGCACTTGACAATAGTTAACCGCGCTATCTGGCCGACCGCTTATGATGCGTCCATCTTTAGCTTCTCGGGGGGAGTAGTCTATAATATCGTCTGTCGTAGACACATACATGTATAATGTATAATGGCATGTACAATCGTTGCGTGTACAACACGCATGGGTCCGAAAGAAGGCACACAATCCAGTGGGGGTCATGTTTAGCGTAGGTACAGTATGTGCCCAGAAAATTCACCGGCACTGTACCGGACCGGCACTATTAAAAAAACTGACAATGACTTGCAAATTCTGTGTACGCCCGCCGAAAACACCGGCGCCATGCTGGGTATTGGCACTATTCAACCGGCACTAAACAGGGGGTCACGTCACACCCCAAGGTAGCTGCAATCAAGCACATTGTCCGGCCGGAAGTTTAAGATGCAAGTACGGCTTGTGATGTTGATATTTTTTGTTCTTGCATCCGCCGCCCTAACCGGGCGGCAGATAACCAAACACGTCAGTCTCTCACGGGGATAAGGAAGTACAAGCTCAGTCGCGTAGACAAAATAATGCATAGGTCATTTGAGTGCTTCACGAGGGAGAGAGCTCGACCGTGCTAATCGGCTCGGCTAACCAATTACCCTTACAAGATACGGTCAATGACTGGGTATTTCTGAGCGTACCGGGGCGACAGATAGGATCCATTTGCAACAGCTTCAAGAAGGATTGAAAAAAAAACATTTGATGACGAAAACAAATTTCATTTCGTGGCACCACTGTTTAGAGTGTTCGTTTCTTTTTTGCTTTTGCTTTGAATCAGAGCTCAGAGCTCAGAGCTTTTCTGACTGGTGGGAGCTCCGTAAACCACGACAAATAACGACGACAGCAACACCTACAACAGTAGCAACAGCAACAGCATCAGCAACAGCAACAGCAACAACAACAACAACGACGACAACAACAACAACTCAACAGCGTAGACAATACTCACGTCTGCCTGGCCGGTAGCCGTGTCGAGGAAGAACGTCCCGGGGTTGTCTTTGGCCTTTGCGCTCTCCTTGCCGTCGCGGATGCGGTCGGCCAGCTTGGACCTGTAATCGCCCATAGTGCTGCTGGCCTCTCCCGACGCGGCCTTTCCCGAGAGCTTGCAAGCCAGGCTCTTGCGCTCCTGCAGGAAGTCCATCAATGGCTGCGCAGAGGATAGGGTGTGTTCACGTCCATGTTCATGTAAGTGTATGTCGTAGTCGAACGACCAAAGACCCCGCATCACTACAATGCAGGGATGGAGCGATATGCCGGGCTTTCACCGGCTTACACTATGCTTCACGAGGATCAACCAGAAGCTGACAATCATCCTTGCGTTCGCTGTGCCAATCCAGGAGGGGAGGGGGGGGGCGTACTCTGACGTTTTGCATGCCTTGGCGGTTAGACCATTGACCATGCGTCCTCGTGAGGGCGGAGCATACTGGGAGCATTGGAATGTTCCGCCCTCTCGAGGATGCGCAACGGAGGAGGGGGTCATAAAATATTAGATTCCGCGGTGGAGAGAATGAAAAATGGTACCAATAGTCCGTAGGAAGATGAGATAAACTAAACTTACACCTAACGCGTGTTCCGAAAGTTGTGAGGCCAACACACGACGTCGAACACAAGACCTCGTTTGGCTCAAGATAAAATCAACGTTACAAAAAAACGTGTTCGTGCGGAATCGTCTGAGCACCCGCTCGCGGAAGGACGAGAAGGCAAGCAAGCTCCTGCTCCTGCACGTGTTGCGTGCGACAAGCCGTTGCCTCTTACCGTAGATGGTCAACTGAACATGAAAATTAAAAGCTACATGCAACTCCGGGTCGAAGACGCTCTGGTCTTTGGGCGCAGGACAGCCGGCAGACGGCCGTGTCATCTAACGTGGGGCTGGCGTCTACCTGTAGCATGTCGTGGGTGTCAAACTAGCTACCCCTCGAGTTTTGGCGTATCTGGGACGGATTGGTGGAATAAGTCCATATTGTGAGCATCGAAACACACAACGGTGGGTACTCCCGACACACACAGCAGTAGGCAAAGAAAAAAAACGAGGGGCGACGGCTAA